ACAAAATGGAGTTAGAATGTATTTTGACCTTAAATGCCGTATCAATGATAAAGATGGATTCATTCTACCAGACAAGAGAAACTTGAGAGGAAAGAAGCAGTAAATTCATTAAAACATTAAAATATACTTTTTTCTTGCTGTTTTTTTTTTTTTTAAACATATTTAAACTATAAAAACATGTTGGACATAATTAATACAGTCGAATTAAAAGTTAATGGTACCGTTCTTTCTCAGATAACATTTTTGTTTAAATGTTATTTTCTTACATTAACATTTAGCTATGCATTTGCTCTGGATTTTTTTATTTATTTTTAGCAAATACTAGATATTGAAATAGAAAAGCTGAAGTAAGGACTATCCTATAGACAAAACTTCGAAAGCAGCCGACCTTTCCTCAGTAAAATCTTGACTATGCATTTTTTAAAACACAAATCTTTGTTTGAAAACAAATTTTCAACCACAAGACAAAATCCCCAGAAGTTAAAACTGCAAGTTATAAATTGCCAAAACTTTGTTCAGTTGGATCAAACAGGCCATGCAACAGTAGACAGGGAGTCTTTCTGTTAGAGGTTATTAGCATCAGGCTTACCAAAATAAAACAACAGTAAAAATTCATTTCTGTAGCTTCCATATGCAAGGACAAAAAATTAGTGCTGATCTCTCATTGAACCAGCAGGTGGGAACCCCCCAAAAATAACTAATGTTTACTAATCAGTAATTACACCCCATTAAGCACTACCAGATTGCACTCATAAAGGATGCTGTAACTTAGAGAAGCCTCAAAGTTAGCCACATGTCCAGAAATTAAGCCAGAAAAGGCATAGATATAAGCGGCCATTTAAAAAAACAACTTTCAAAGCACTTAGACATGCAGGTTTTGAAAGAGAGCCAGACTTTTAACAGATAACAGGAAGGCTAACACCAATGTTCCATTTTATACTTGTAGGCCTTTTATACTTATATACAGCTTTTGAAAAGCAAGGTTTCCAATCTTTGATTAATACACACCCAGTGTTTTAGTAACGCCAGCCGTGCTAACGGCGTTTTGAAATATGAACTCTGTTTTGTCTCTGTCAATTGAAAATGCCCTTTAATTAAATGTATGTGAATCAGCCACACCTGAAAGCATCTCGAATTAGAGATAAATAATCCATGTGTTCAGTAACGGTTGAACAAAAAGAGTCTTACCTAGGCTAGATCTTTGATCTAACTCTGCTGTCCAGCTCCAGGACTCTCAAACAACCCAGAGGAGACAAAGAGAAAGATACACCGCAGCTCAGATAGGCTACAGTCCTTCAGACACTTCAACCTTCCTTTCCAATCAGCCATAGGTCAGGAAGTCGTAACAGATTTGTTTGTTCCCATCTCTGAACTAATGGCTTCATTCCAATCAATGAGCAGAAATGCTTTGCCGTCCAGGCAGTGCGGAGCATCAGAGGATCTTTATTGAAGCCATCACTGGTGATAATAAAGCTCACCTTTCAAAATTAACGAACAGAGAGCATTCTTCAATACCAGGCCGAGGTCTAAGCAGCCGTCCAAACGGAGCAGATGCTTCTGTTTCAAATCGTTTACTGACACGCTGGTATCGTTCCAACCCCCTGAAAGGTAAATCTTCTGTAACAGAGTGCATCAAGCAATCGCTCTCATAATCAATCAATTTATCATTGTATAATTGTTTGGCCAATACAGCATAAACAGAGGAAATGCACATCAGTTTTACAACGCTCAAGGTGACAACTTTAATCATTCTTTTAATGCACAGTTGACAATTAACATACTGCTTCGCTGTCAAATTGGGGTGAATATAAACCTCCTCTTTACTTTATGGGATCAGCGTAACCAGATTAAACCTGACACTTTATTTCAGCTTTGTTGCTCATTTCATTCTTATTCTGCTCTGTATTTTATACAGGGAATATCATCTATATGCAATTCTCCTGATAATGAGTAGTTACTCCTATGTTGAATATGGATACTCTGTGGGGGCTCTTTTGATGAGGTAATAGTGGTGACACATAAGCTCACAAGTCATGGAAGGTTGGATTTGCAGAGCGTCTATTGGGCGAGACTTTCCCAGTTTCCCGTTTTAAAAGCAGATTAGTCTAACTGGGTTTAATTAGCAGAGATAAAAAAAAATGTATTGCAAGGTAAGAGATCAAAGTCACACAGCAACAATACTGGGAAAGGTCCCATCTGTTTTCACTTCAGTTCATGTTCCAGTCTTTACTCAGCTTCTAGATATCCTGTTTATGCAGCTTTATTAGGCAGGGCCAGCCACAGGTACTCTCAGTGCAGATCAGGTCAAACATAAAACTAGTTTCCAGTCAGTTCAGTCTTCACACGGACTCCTCTGGGGAGCAGTTTTCTGAACATCTGGGTATAGTTGCCTTGTTTGTGTTCCCACTTTCTGCAGCAAATACATAGTTAAAGGATTTAAGTGCATAAGATAGCTCATTAGTGTTCATGCTATGATACTGAAGGCAATTAACATCCTCCCCATGTGACCAGTAAGGCCATATGGTGCAGCACAGACCATCGGTGCCTGTTGGAGGAGTAGCACCGTGGACTTTGAACATCTGGATGAAGAGGTGCTCATTCTCCTGTGGTTTTAATTTGCAAAAAAAAAAAAAAAAGGTTCACCTAATAAAGACAGTTTGGTGCAATCAGCAGAATATGGCTCCAAACAGTGACATATTTAAAAAGAGAAAATGAAATCCTAGAGTGTTTGTTAAAAGGTAACGTCAGTTCTGTTCTCACACAAACCAAATATCTATGCAAACTATGACGCTTTTCATTACAACCCAAATTTGGCAATATCACTGATTTGATCATCAGCAGTTCCCAAGAAGAGGAAAAAAACAAAACAAACAAAAACGGATCTTCTAAGATCTGCCTAAAGGCTAGACTAATTTACCCCAACATTTGTTTTTAAAGGGAGGAGCAGATGATGGGAAATGATAACCAGGCTGATCAGGTTCCACTGGAGCCCAACAGGAAGTCATAAAAAGAGGAAAAGGTCACCGACGCAGACAGGAAGAGATAATCACTAATTTCACCAGCTAAGCACAGAAAACAACCTTCTCAAAAAAAAAAACAAACAAAAAAAACACAAAGATACATATTTTTAACTCATAAGATTGGCAAAACTCAAAGGATTATGATTCACACAAAGTGATTAATTAATTAAACTACACACATTTCTGCTGTTTCACGCTCTTTAACTTAAACACCAAACTAATATACTGTCAATGGCAGCAGAAAAGCACTTCTTAAACTATTTATCTGTTGAGAGGAAATAAATCCTAATAATTTGCCCTGTGTACATTTTTTTAAAACAAAGTAAATCACACTTTGACACCAAATACAAAACAAAATCATTTAAACCTGTCAGACAAAATACAGTATGGTAAAATATCTCAAAAGGCAATACCACATGCCCCAGATAAAAAAAATAAAGGTTTAAAAACAGATGAGAAAAACAGTCTTCTACCAGTTTGGAAAGTGTTACAAGGTCATGTCTGAGGCTTTGGCGCTCCGCTGAAGCACAGCAAGAGCCATTATTAACAACTGGAGACATGAACCTTCCTGGGAGTGTCAATTTCACCAAAATTACTCCACAAGCTCATTTACAGCTGATCCAGAAAGTCATAACAGAACCAAGAACAACAGCTAAAGCACAGCAGGTCAGAAATAACTCAAAAATAAGAAAGAGAGACGAGGCGAGACAGGCATCTGTGGGAGAATTAAAAAAAACTTCAAAACCTGCTAGTTCATCTCAAACTTGTCAGAATAAAATCTAAAAATTTATGGGACAATATTCTTGTACAACAGCTATTCAGGAAAATCCAATCAAACCAACGGTCCAGTATGTTAGGGCTTGCGCGACGGCACCAGGACCTGGGCAACCATATTCTAGGAAATGCAACTCTCTACCATAACATCCTGAGGGAGGACGCTAAGGCCATCACTCTGTGGCCTTAACCTTAAAGGAACAGTGTTTGTGGAGCAGGAGCATGGGCCAAAGCAAAACAATGAGTCAGCATCCCAATGGCTCAAAAAAAAAAAGAGATCAAATCTGACAGAAACGCTGTGGAATGACATTAAACAGGCCATCCATGCTTGAAAATCCTCTAATGTGGATGAATTAACATAATTCCCATACGAACAGGCAGGTCAGATCCCACTCATGATGTTATGATATAAACTGATGAACTAATAAAAGAAGAAACAGAAAAGAAAGTTAACCTTTTAATCCTAAATTTGGAAGATTCTGTTGTTTTTCTGGCTTTTTTTTTTCAAACCTAAATCCAGATTTCCAGCCTGGTTATACTTTCAGACTTACAGTCTAACCTGTTCACCTGTGAGCATTTCTCACATTCAAAGGCGCTACAACAAAAACAAGCTGAGAACACACCTATTCTTGTGAAAGACGTGCATTAGAAGAAAATCCTGCCAAATTAACCTTCCAACACAAAGATCAGTGACACACCTGTAAGAGATATCCTTCGCTCAACAATGAAGCACCTGCACAGAAACGTCAATGCATGGTGACTTCAATGCAAACACAAAATGGCCAGGGGGGAGGGGGGTTCAGGAGTGCTATAGGAACATTTTATGGTTTCTGTGACTCAAAGTAGAACAGTCAAAACAGAAAGGCAGAATGTTACTGTGCTGTCCTCCCACACAGCTGAGCCAAAAAAATGAGCATAAATTATGAAAAAAACCATGAATAAATATTTCAGAGAGGTTTTGAAAGAGCAGAGAAGGCTTTTTGGAAAAATGATGGCAAACAGGGGCTGATATTAACCACACAGTAATGGGATACTGTGTACAGCAGCTTCAGATTTCAGGTGAGTCCCTATTTGCATAGTCAAAACCTGCTTCTAGTAACTTACCTCCACCCAGATGGAAACTCTCTGACCATCACATGAAAACATATCCCTGTTACATTTACAATTCGAAACTGAATATTTAAAAAAAAGCATCTAACTACTTACATGACCATGATTTATGAAACCATGTTTCCTAGCAATTCGGTCGGCCTCCTCCGGACCTCCAGGTATGTGGACCGCCCACGTGTTGGTGTAGACCTTCTGACCCAGAGCCGATCCTAGCCCACTCACCAGCAGCACAAACGCAGCTCCAATTAGCAGCTCCAGCAGCCTGAGCCTGTGGCCTATGGAGGAAGATGGAGGGCCAGAAGCCATGGGTTCTCCTACAGCAGCACAGTCACCGAGCACGGCAGCTCTCCAACAGGCCGAGGCTGCTCAAAGCACATGCAGGTGGACAGGTAGTCAAAGGCAGCGAGAGTCGCAGCTCACCTGGAGAGAAACAAAAGAAGAAAGGAAGCCATGCAGCGATAAAACTAACCGACAGATTATAGATGGCTCGCTTTAGACACAATATTTCTGACTCTATATTAACCAAAACATCAGAGGGAGGAAAAACAACTAGCAAGGAACCAAAAATAACAGCTTTCTTTTAACTCAATTGTATCTTAGAGATATTTCTCTATAAATAATAAGGGCTATTTAGACACTGTAGTCAATATATGTATATTTAGTTAAGATTAACAGGATCTAAAAGGTACTGATTTGAACTGGTTTGCTCTTAAGCAAACAAGATAAATTATGGTACATTTAAACGCTGTTTAATAAGATTCATGGCTTCATATTGATTTTAAACCATAATATCTTATAAACTGTATAAAGAGCACCAAAAAAAAGGACAAAACTGTCTCAGGTTCAGTTTTTCAGAGCTTAAAGCCTCAAGTTTAGTTTTTTTTTTTTTGCCATTATTTTTAGTTTGTTTTGTCTTGTTTAAGCTATGATTTAAATGCAACTGCTGTCAGGCTCCAATGCAAACAGCATGCACCATATATGACGTGCTTCATAGAGGATCTTTGCTGTAATGTTGCTCATCAAAAACATTTTCCAAGAAGAAAACAAAACAAAACAGTTTTCCGATGTAATTTGCATGTAATTAACTATTTTCAGCTCAGGTATTTAAAACCTTAAACTCTGAAAAGCAGAAGAACTGTGACAATTAAAGAATGAAGCAACATTTATTCCCCGAACTTGCTGTAGATCTGAATCCCTCACAATTACTTACGGTAAAAAAAAAAAAAACATTGCAGAAACAAAACAAATCCAATTAAAATTGGTCTGGGTTTGATTTGAGAGAAAAATAAGATTTTCTTCTGTCTAAACTGTATTATATAAAATACATCAATCCAGTGCAGGTAACATAAAGAACACAGACATAGTGGACATAGCTTAAAATGCAATATTTTTCTTATTTGCTTAAGATGAAATATTTTTGAATCATTTACTAACTTTTTAGCAAATAGAAAAAAAAACTAATCCACCCTTAAAGCAGATTTAAAGGGCTATTGGAGAAAAAAAAAACAAAAAAAACAACCCAGTTTAGAACGGGTATTTAACAATCCCACACAACGCAGTGAGCGGCAGGTCGGCGGCGGACTGGATGCTGCGGTCAGGCACACAGCAGCAGATTTAGGCCTCTAAACTCCCACGGGAGGTTCCGGCCAACAGAGGCCGGCAAGAGAAAGAAATGCTTAGGTAGCGCGCAGGAGAGGTGGAGAAGTGTGGCTGGAAAGCTGGACCACACCCTGGATGCTGAGGGATAACAGAGTCTGTTTTAGTAGGTAGTGAAGCAGCCTCTGGAGGGGGAACGCCTGAGGCAGCAGTGGCAGCTACTGAAAGGCTGCAGCCAAGGACAGCACATAAAAAGCAGCAGGGAAAGAAAATTCTCACAAAGTGGAAATTTTAGTGCTTCCATCTTTTTTTTATATATTTGTTTTGTAGCATGCCGCAAAATATCCAAACTATGACCAAATGCAGGAAACCGAATTCTTCATTTTAGGTTTTCTGCAGACATATTGTTGCAGGACTCTAACCTAAGCTTGTTTAACTGCTGATCGTTCTCTTTATTGTCTGAACAGACTATTATCCCTCATATCGTGCCACCGAACAGACTAGACCTCACTGAACAGAGCTCCTATTGTGCGTTTTCCTCCCAGTGCAGATATATGAGATCTCCTATGGTGTCCCCCCACCCCAGGTGTTATAAGCAATATAGTCACTTCTCTAGTGTAAGCCATTGTCTTAGCCTCAGGAAGGACAAACAAGCTCCCCAAGATTTCCCATGATGACATGTCGCAATGAAACAATAATGCGTTTAGAGGGACCTGCTCTTTTTTCTGTCCTTCTAGAAAATCTTTTATTTCTGCCCCCCCATTATTACAGATTTAAAAGGAGAAACGTTTTCATATAGGAGTTATAAGATATGCCAATAAGTGAAATAGTTTCACATCTGCTAAAACAGTATGCAATACATTCCAAAAGTCATCTTTAAACACCCATCAGGATTTACCTGAATGACGAAATCTGTTTTTATCTAAAATCTGACTTGCTAATATGGACTTTGAGATGTGACTAATTATTTTTGGGAAATTTCAATATGCAAGTGAGACACAGAAGTAGAAGCTCTGAATCATTTTAAAAGAGAAGGAGTTACAACATCCTCCTGTTGAACGCATCACAGTCAGATTAAAGCACTTGAAATTGGTTGATGTGTTTGCAAGCTAAAAGTAAAAGAGGAAAAAAGAGTGAATGTTCTTAGTTTATAAAAATTCAATGAACAGGAAAAAGGGTTAAATGTTCAGCTTTTGACCTGCAGGTTATTTAGCAGAACCAATCAGCTGGGAAGCTGCTTTATTCAGACTTCTGGTGGCTTGATCAAATCATTAATTTAAGATTGTTTTAAGTGTTTCACTGGGTAACTGTTACATTAGCATGAAAAAAACAAATCAAAATATGTTTTTTAATGATTTACCTAAAACAATCCTAATTGAGTAAATGAAATGTAGTGAATAATGGCTTAACGGTAATATGTGGCTTATCTGGTCCTGCTTGCTAAACAGGGCCAGCAGAAATTCCCATGTGTTAACACATGTTGTGGCAACAGCTGATCTGATCGGACTCCTTTACCGACACAGACCTCCCACAGATAATCCACAACAAGCCCGTCCTATGCAACCCGGGGAGTTTTGATTCACCTGAAGCAAACATTTCTATCATTTTCTAACCAAAACAAACAGATAATCTAAAGACGCCCTGAGACGCATTTCAGTAACAGGTTAAGGCTAAAACTGTGATGCAAATGTCTTTCAGTATGCTATGAGGAAACTATCAACTCAGGCCGAAAAGACAAACATTTTTCTGATCTGGAAAGACGAGCTGCTTATTCAAGCCAGGCTTTATCAATGCCTTCGTTTCTTTCTATAAATACCTTCACCGCAGACGCAAATGCGGGAAAAATCAGGGACTACAATAGGCCGGTGCAACAAAATATGAAAAGAACGGAGCATTAAGTTAAACTACCTGCTCTGATGAAAAGCTTAAATATATGGAAATAGAATAAATAAAAACTAGATGACAGTGAGGTGAATCTGCTGGTATAACTCACTCAGTTTTATCCTCTGTCTTTTGATGCCACAACCAAAGCGACTGAATGTTCCTGAGGCTTTTGTTTGACTTGTTAGACACGCGCTGATATTTAAGTGCAGAGGGCTGTGACCTCATCCAAGCTCCCGACCACTCAGCGTCCTCAACGTTAGTCTGGAAAGCCTCGCACAGAGGGAAGCCAACCACCGCCACACGCGGCTTCTTCAAGATCCCTCACTGCAGAGCAGGTCAGGCTCTGACAATGATGTAAAACTACATTATAATTGGCCAAGAATCATTACACCCCAAAAGGATAAAGCTGACCTCATTACCAAACTCATAACTTATTTTATTCTTTATATAAGAAAAAGTGTTTGTTTTTTTTCCATCTCACTGGTTTATTGTTTATGTTCTAATGAGAAGAAAAATAAACTCCAGTGGGTTTCACCAACATGACCTTTTTACAAGCTATTCTGAATCTGCAATTTCTCACCTCAACACACATACAAACTCTTCTACTCAGCGAGATAACGGGCTGCGAGTGCAGCCGAGGGCTGAAATACGAACATAACAAATAAATAAATATAACATGGACAGCAAGCATATTAGTTTATGAGAAAATTGCGGTTTGTTTATTGAAGCCAAATACAAATGAGCTGTTTATTTACTCAGGGCAAGTCAGTTCATAATTAGCATTATGAACCGACATAACCAGAGGAGCTGCTATTATTAGTTGAAAAGCCTTAATTGGCTGCAGTTAAAGTTAAAAAAATGCTCTTTTGATCAAAGATGAACTTTTAAGGTTAAACAGAAAGCGCCCAAACATTTAGGAGAAATTATAGATCAAATTGATCACCTCTATAATAAAACTAAAAAAAATACAGTTTTAATTGAAGCTACATAAAATATTGATTTCTGTGGTTAGCTCAGTTTGGATGTGTGCAAAACTGCAATTAAAAAAGGAAAAAAAAAAATGGAATCAGGTTACTGATTTGAATTCCAGCTTATGCTAATAATGCATTTGTTTAGCTAGATGGGGTTTCCTGTCTGCATTTGATAAGAGATATGAGTGGCGAAGATATTACAGCAAAAGTACAGTTTGGGGTTCTCATTATTTCTGTTGTAATAATGGAAAAAATAAAGGATGAGAGAAAAAAATCCAGGTTAATGGAGAACTGGTTTCAAATACCTTAATAATCATGTTTTTCTAATACGGTGCAGCTTAAAAACCGAATTAAATACAGTAGCTAAATGTAATAGTTCAGATCATGTGTTTATGGGGAAGAGTACAGTTTGCTGCTCTGGTCAAAAAATTTTATAAGCAGGTTAACAGCTTCTTAAACGATGGATCATCACTGAAAACATGGCTTAAAACAGCCAAAGTAAAAAGATTTACCAGCATTCTTTCAAGCAGCTGAGCGGCAGTGCACAGCAGCAGACTCATTTTAAGCCACAGCAGCAGTGTGATTCCTTTTAGGTTTAACTAGACTACCTGCCAAAGAATGAAAACTTCATCTGAAGTGGAAGATGGCCGTCATTCAGCAGATGTTTGCAGATTGTTAAAAGTGCTCTGTGGAATTAGGACGTAAAAAGCGGTCAGATGTTGGGAAGCAGCTGATCCGGATCCAAATTACTTCCAGAAAGGCGTTATGAGAAGTGACAGGAACACAGCGCAGAAGATGCTTGTTTGTATCTTTGTTGCAGAAAGCCTCCAGAGGGGCGGCAACAGGCACATCATTGCAGAAGGGAAACGGCATCTCTACTTCTTTTAGTCTAACATGTCTGATTAAAGACGGCGATGAAACGCGTTTTTGGATCGTATAGGTTTTAAAAAGCGAAGCTGCCAAGGTTTGGAAATGTTGACTGCGTGCACAAAGCTCTAAGACACTGGGAAGGAGAACTAGAGGAACAGAAACGGCTCAGAACAAGCCCTTTTTTTATAATGAATAAATAAAATACAGTTATTGTTGAAGCTAATAAGAAAACCTTTTCCTAGCCTTCTGTTTCCCTCCATAGAGAGTTGGAATCATTTTAAACAGATTTTACATAGAAAATTACCGATTCAAAATAAAATGGAAATGTCTGCTTTTTCAATAACATTAGTTACAAACATTATAAAACAAGCAGAGTTATATTTTCACTGCTCAACGTTAGACACACAGACACTCAGTGGCTTCCCTCCCCCTGTTCTCTGCTAAGCATTGCCCGTCAGCTGGCTGAAAAGACTACTGTATATACCATATATTAACACTTTCTCTTCTACAACAAGGAAAAATCTGGACATACAAAAAGCATTAAAGATGTATGATAAAACCACAGTCCGTGACATGGATGCAACTATTTTTTAATATAACTGACTTCAGCGTGTTTCACCATCCAATCACAGACCTGATTCAGTGGCAGATCAGATGTTTGTATGGTGAGCTTCTCAGGAGTGACAATAAATCACAAAAGAAAAGACGGTGAGCCAATCCGGTGGTCTAAACTCAGGGAAGCGAGCTTCAGTTTTTCTGCTGGGTCCTAGTGCTCAAGGAATATTTGTGTACTGTAGAGTAGCCTTGTTTTTGGACAGTAAAGCTGGGCGTACACTGTGCGATTGTTTCAATCGTTGCATGCAGCTGCAACTCGCACTGTACGACGAAACCCTGTGGTTTCATCATGCAGTGTGAGTTCACAGCTCACGGTGGATGTTCAGTCCGACGCTCTGATGTGATCTGCCTGCTCACACTGTACGTCGAAAAAAAACACATCGGAATCAGCTCCGCAGTGAGATGGGGCTGCATTGACTCGTCTATCCAGAAGCCAAATGAGTAGAAGAGGAATAAAAAGCTCACTAGAGTGAAACGCTCTGCTTTGGCAATTTGAGCAATTTTGTGCTTAAATCGCTAAATAGAAAAGGCAAAGACGTATTTGGACAAAAACATGGGCAAACGTGGCTACTACGGTCTGTCAATTTCACAGAAAGAACTCCATTTCACTCATTGCACCCCCACGATTTTTTTTTAGGATTGCCCACGACAGTCAAACATGTTTGATTTACTCCCGACCTCACGATTCCTGATCGGGAGGCGGTCGTGAGAGGCTGATCGCCCCTCGCTACCCCCTGTACACTACACAAAGCACGACGCACGATCAGGCTGAACGAATCAGCCCGATGGAAAGATTCTCGCATGGCTGGCAAATCGCCCCGAAAAGGGCAAAGATAAAAAATAAATAAATAAAATCGCACAGTATAAGCCCGGCTTAAAACATGCAGACCTAAAAGGACGATTGAAAAAGTGAAGGGGACATGTCCCCCCCTGCCCCCCCCCAAATAACATCCATGGTTGGTGAGCTCTAAGTTATGCAGAAAACTGAACTACTAAACAGGTTTATTTGTCTCCTATAAAGTAGAAAACTACCTAAACAATGAGATAGATTGTAGAATATTTTAATTGCATAAAAATGATGAAATGATTTTTCTTAAAGTGAGGATCTCAAGCTTTCTGTGATGTGTTAATATGTGCGTCTTTGTCGCAGCCTGTAGTGAGTTTCACAGCTTTGCTTCAGTGTTTCTCCAAAAATGATCCCCAGCCTAATAATAATGCTGAACCACAGCTGCAGATACACAGAGGTAAACAACCCAACAACAACGATGATGATGATGATGATGATGATGATGATGATGAACCAATGCAGCCACAACACACAAACATCCCCAGGAACTAATGACCTACAATTCCCACTCTCTTAGACCAGGGTAGACTTTATTTAACTAAAGTTGCCTCATAATTAAACAATCGTGGACCGAAACGAGCAGAAAAAGACTCTCCTAAGAGCTTCAGCCAAACTTCAAATATCAATGTTTATCAAGTTGTAAGTCCTCCGTGGGTTCGACTCACCGAGTTCAGTCCACGATGAAAACACGCAGTAAGTGTGGGATCTTTGGCTGGAGCTGATCCGATGATGATGATGATGACAAATATGTCTGAGAATCCAGCGCTGTGTGATTAACGCAAACTTGACGCCACACTGCTTCTCTCACAGGTGCCTCCCCCTTTTTTTCTTATCAACTTCTAACGATCGTTTCGCGTTTTTTTATGGGGGGGAGGAGAGAAGCCGATATAAGAGCCGATATGGAGTTTATTTTCGATCTCCGCAGGAAAGAACCACAGAAACCGGGACACGGCGCTGTCGACGCAGACTCGGGTTTTCTGTGTGTTTTCTCCGCTTTGGGAGAGGAAAACCAGCTGACAGCGCAGTCGATAATCCTTCCCTGGTCCAACGTGTCAAGCTTTCGGTGGTACGGGAGCGGCTGGTTCGGTTAAAGTCGGCAGCCCGACCAGAACAAGTCAGATACAACAAGCTAAAGCAGACGGTAAACTTACCGAGGGCTAAACTTACCAGCTTCCTTTACATCCTGCTCGATCCTGTGGCTTATTGTCTCACGTGGCGGTGTTAAATCCGACGACGACACGGCGAAACGACTGAAGAACGCGTAAAAGACAACTGCTGATTATAAACAGTCATGATACCCCTCCGGTGTACCGCTGAGTGGTCGGCACAAGCCCCAGGAAATACGTCAGGATCATGGACGAAGCGGAGAACAGCGGCTCCTCACGGAACAGCAGCGCTGCTGCAGCTCCACCTGCTGGTCATGAGGGGAGCTGCGGCATGGATGTGTCGCTCGAAAACGAGCAGGCCCTCTCTGCCGGTTCAAATGAGATGGGATCTGACTCCCACGCCTAACTTTTTCTTCTTCTTTTTATCTAGTTGGTGATATTTTATCCAGGCCTACCTACAATTAAACGAAAGCAAAAGAATTACACATTTTTGGATCATTTTTATAAATCAATCAGGCAGCCACCACAGCATCGCTACATCTGATGTATTTTGTGAATGAACTAAAAAATTACACTATGCACAATATTACAAACAAATATTCAATTTAGTTTAGCTTTTCAGAAATTATGAGGATGAATCTATCTATCCATCATCCTATATTTATCAGATTTCAGCATGTCCTAATTGCATGCACTTAGTGCATTTAAAACAATGTCGTTCACGAACCATGATGACAATGTATAGTTTAAAATAGACACCAAATCTTGAAATTTCCCTCTCCCTTTCACCATTTTGTATCTACTTGTTACCTTTTTGACCCTTGCCATGTTGTACCCATGTCGTTTTAATTGCTGAGTAGATGCAGTTGCTTTGTCTAATGCTATGTTCAGACTGCACGCAGCAGAAGCAGCAAAAATGCGCCTGCTGCTTCATTTTTGGTGCTTGTACTAGTTTAGTTCTGATGCATCTTAGTTGAAGCATCAGTTAGCGGCAGAGCTACCCTATCCTTTCTTTACCTGAAACAATGGCAGCTATATTTGCCCTTATAAGTGGGTAAAAAGTAGTTTTAATATATTTTTAAGTGAGAAAGTCCACCTGAAATCTTCATCTGTGCAGTCAGTTCATAAAGATTAGGATCCTGCCTTCAAATATTATTTCACTGTCAGAGCCACTCAGACCTCCGTACACTTAACGAGCTCTGTCCCTGGAAATCCCGTTCAACAGCAGCCTCTGGCCCGGTCGCCTCTTCACGGTTTTCCGCTACTTTGCATGGTGGCTGGAAGGCCTTTTTCAAGTACCTAATCAAATCTGCAGGCACCAGAATAATAAAAGCAAACATATTTGTTATGGTCCTCCCCTTTTGGGACTCTGAGTTTTTAGTTTTTCTGTTTTGTGATTTTGGTTTAATCTCAATTATATTCAAGCAGTCTTTAGTTTCTCTCTGTTGCTCCCTTGTGCGTTTTTCCTTTCCCCTTGGATTTCTTCTAGTTAGCTCCACTCACACCTGCTCCATATTCAGCTCATTCTTTGTTCCATTCCTCTTATGTACAACACCTCTGCAGTCATAGTGCTGGTTCCTTGCTTCCTCGCCTGGCTCCCCACAAAAGTTTTCCCTGAGGTTTTCTGGTTTTTTGGTTCTTTGTATTTTGCATTTTTGGATGTGGTCATCAGTTTTCTATTTAATCAACAAGAACTCATCTCTGCTTCACTCATCTCTACATTTGGGTCCTCAAGCAACCTCACCCTGTTCTTGACAATATTTTGTGGGAAGATTTTGACATTTGAAGTTAATTTAGGCTTTAATAAAAAGGAGTGATCATAGCAATGAGCATCAGCAGCGCTGTGTCTGTCTCCATGCCAGCTCCCAGATCAGCTTCCCGGATTGGTTGGTTGGCGTGTCGAGCAGCAAAAGTAAAATTTTTCCAACTCTAGCAGCTGCTGCTTCTGAAGCGTGTAATGCGTGTCAGATGCTCAAAAGCCTGTGAGGCTCCTGCATGTAAACTAGCTGCTGCCTCTGCTGCTTGCAGTCTGAACGTAGCATAAATGTGAACCAAGGAAAAATCCAACTTCAGAGAGAAAAGACAGAACAACTTATTAGCCACTTTATGTTTGTGCAAAAAGTATAAGTTCTGCTATTATAGGACATTTCATGTTAAATAGGCAAACTACAATTTGCAATTCCAGGTAATAGTATTGATTTTTAATACTTTCAAATTCTACAGAAATACTTAAGTTACCCAGTCCTAAAAAATGGGAGAAAAAAAAATAAATAATCCACTGGACTTTGTTTTCCAAGTTTGAAGACATTTTGCTTCCCATCCAGGAAACTTTTTCAATTCAATTGAAATGTCAGAATTAGCGTTCAGTCCCAAGCTTTAAAAAGTAGCCCAACAAAGCCTTGTTTGGGTTTAGAAAACATGCTACATGAACCCGGATCAAGAGGTCCGTCCCTTAGGAATGGGAAGTCGTTGAGGTCTTTGTTAGCATGCAATACTCGATACTGGTCTATGCCTCGGAAAGATATTAGTCATTAGGGTCAATTTCAGCCTGGCTGACCAGGCGAGTTGTCCTTTTCCCCTGCATGGCCATCAGAGTTATGATAGTAAGAAGGAATCAACTTTATCGCAGCATTGTAGATTTTTAAGAGCTGAAAACACTCCCTCTGTTTAAGGTTGTTTTTTCCCCTCTTAACACAAATGGCTTCCTTCACACCCCTTTCAAACCACCTGTCTTCTTTGTACAAAATGTGAACTTTCTGGTCCTCAAAATAATGTCCTTTGTCCAGGGGTTGAGAATGAGAATTACACAAAGAGATCTGTAGACAATCAAAAAAATTATAATTTTCTCACAAAACATAAAAACTGCAGATAACCACACCGTCCCCTTATTACTTGTGGCAGCCTTATTGGATTTTGAGGTAAAGGTTGGCAAGATACAAGGAACTCCAAAGTTAAAATATGAAATCTAACCAGCCATTCCAGATTTTTTTTCTGACTTTTAACCAGTGGCAGTTCTTACATAAACAGGGCCACTAAGTAACCCCCTCCAAAAACTAAATTATTATTTTTTTTTCTCCAAGCAATAATAAATAATAAAAAAAAATCTGCTTTAGCACTCATGATTTAAATCAGTGGATCAATTACAGATATCCATTTTAAAAGATAATTCCAACATTTAGATATTTAAGCAGGTACACATCTTAAATACACAGGAAACTTGTCCTCAAATTTGGAGATTAAAGGGATCTCTTATATTTTACTGAAACAGCTCTGTCCACATTGACTATAGATGTAAAATACGTATTTAGTGTAAATAACAACTTTCTTTTGCCATTGGTGGAGTGACGCCCTGGGCAGTGAGGCATATGACAGACATTCATATCCACCACTGACTAAAACTTGGAAACACTGGCTTCATGGCACTAATGGAACACAGTAAAGGCCTTTGCAGGCTCAGTTAGTGAAATGAGCAAAATTATCCGGATCCAGGAGAGGAGATGAAATTCTCTTCACTACGGAGAAGGGTTCATCTGACATGCAGGCTGTGTGAGTTGGGCTAATGCCAGCCAGGCAGACGGGCAATTTATTGTGGGGAAAAACATGCACTAAATAACCAGTAAGCAGACTGAATGCCAACAAGCATCATCCTGACTGAGAAAATTGTTGCCAGCATGAAAGGATTATGAACAGGCTTATCAGGCAAAGGACCAGGTCAGGAGATCCTCGTAGCTTTGAGCCTCTCCTTTAGGTGTTTAACATTTCTTGTTTAAAAAGCCAATGGAACTCCTGCAAACATACATCATCTGCATAAAAATCTAAAAAAATAAGAACATTTAATTAAAAACAGATCAAACTCAGCATCAGTAAATGGAAAACATTCACAAATCTGAACTGCCTTCGCACACCAGAATGAGCAATCTGTTTGCAGTCACCTGCCTATTCTATTGTGTAGAAATGCTGGAATAAAGCCATCTTTCTTATGAATGACAATTTTTGATAGTACGGTTCAACTTTAATTTGAAATATGCGCCATCTGGATGGTCCCTGCAGCCATCCATGAACTGGTTCTGCTCCATGAGGGCACCTGTGTGGCATCATTTTGATTCATCTCATCCATCTCATTCCCCAACATCGCTCTCTTTGTCTCTCCTGGATCTGTTAAATAAAGATACATGATGCTAGGATATGAAAGAGGATGAATGAAGTGAATACAGATTATAAGTGGATTTATTTCAGTTTAAGATATGCTTAAACTAATTTGGAACAGATCCTCATTTATATGACCCTAAATTTAATTTAGATAGAAGAATAGATCAAATTTCCTCACACAAAAACCAAAAGCAATATTTTTATTTTTGCTTAAAATTGTGATTTGTCTTCTTTACCTCTCCTTTGTTTTGTAATTTATTTCATGGTAGTAAACTGAGTTCTCCATGGTCCTTGTGAAGACCATGAAATGAAATGGTAATGAAAAGAAATGGGTTCATTCTTCATAAAAATTATAGATTTATTTTTTTTTCCCACAGGAAAAACGGGTGAGTTGCCTTGAATTCTTAATTATTTTATTATTTTTTTTCTAAAACAATGTTACTCTGTTGAATCAAATGTTATCTAAAAAAAAAAAAGTACATTCAAGAAATTTTAACTGAGACCAAGTTATTGTGTAAAGTTGGATCTTGTGCAGATGGATGGATTTTACCTGATATCATGTATTTTGGGACATTTTTATGATGCATAACCATAGCAACCTGTTTATTTTTTACAATGTGGAGCAGCTGATCAAGATTTAAAAAGCTACAATAAAACAATAATTTAACTACATCCCTAAATTTGTTGAAAAGAGGGTGCTGAGGCTGCAGAGCACTGGTAAGAAGAAACTGAGGAAGGAGGAATTAGTTTAAATGTGTGACATGACATTATTGGGGAAAAAGTTGGATGGACTCTGAGCCAAGACCTAGACATAATTTTGGGGAATGCAGTTTAATGTGTTTCCATGACAAATGGCAGAAGAATTATCGCTCCAACTCTCTCTGCCGGGGTTTCTGACTATGCTAACTGACAGAGATTTAGAGAAGAGTGGCAAAAGCAAAGGAGGTTGATTAGCACTGCCTGTCATGTCGTGTAGTTTCATCCCTGCAGTCTATATATTGAACTGTTAGTGATTATTTACCCAGCATTATTTATTAGGAGTTCACTAGTGTTATTTTAGCACACTTTACTCTTAGCTGCTATCAACACTGCTTTGAATGTAACCAG